TAAGCTCAGGTTCTACACTGATATAATGCTCCGTGGCTCGGTGATTTCGCGTCTACAGCTCCAGTGACCGCATTTCTATCATGGCTTAGTGTCTTGGCCACCGTCCCAGTCATCGTTTTTTTTGTGGTGTCGACGCTGGTCTGCCGTCCATTTTGTTGTGCGCTACCGTAGTATCGCGCTCCCCAGTGAGCTCCGGTTATACCATGGTATATTGTTTCAATACCCGACAACCTCCCGTTAATGGTCTTCGGCGGCTTCATGTTTGGTCAGTCGACTGTGCTCCGTGTTCAACCATGGTGCTATGGGAGAATTTCTGTCCGTGCACTCTTACCGTTACGTGTTCTACCGTGGCTTCGAGCGTGCGTGCTCTTTCGTAGCCCGTGCATTCTGGTATGCTGGGGTGTCTACGTATTAAGTTCCCTTCTATGACCCGTACGCTCCCGTCATATTCTTGTCCGTCTGTCCTTTTCATGGCTGCGTGCACGTCCATCTTTCGCGCTACGTAAAACACTTCGTGGTTTGCATCGGCTAAATCTTCTATCATCGTCCACGACGTTCCGTGCTTCGTGTTGCTCTTCTATCCCATCGTTTTTCGTGTTCTTGCTGAGTCGCGTGCCTCCGCGCAAACTTGATCACAAACGCTGTTCCGATTCTGTTTGATGTACACAACATATATTGTTGGAAAGATCACACAATATCTTAAGGTCGTGTGCAAATACAGAGGAAGATGATACTTTTCCCGGGGGCAGTGTGGGGTGCAGGGGGGTGTCGGGTGGGAAGTCATAATAGTCATATTTTAAAGTTTTCACATCCTAAAGTATCAATTATTAATAGTAGTAGTAGAGGTGTGATTTATTATAAACGTTAACATATTAATTATGTGGACTACTACTACAAATAACTGCAAGCAAAAATATGAAATGTCTTAAGAATAGTACTACGCAAAACAGTACTCTAAGTTAAATTATTACAAACCTACTACGAAGCAAATCAAATCATATTTAAACCAATAAGTACTAATGTTTTGATTGAGGCCGAAGTATGAGTCACCGAAGCCTACAAATTTTATCAACAGCACCTACGACGATAGAGAACGTGTGTGCTCATCGGCGCCTTTTAATTCAGCTAACTAACGCGTACACAGGCAGCGCCCTTCGCGTGGCCTTGCATACCGCAGCTGAAAATGAAAGCAAAATGAAATTTGAACGGTGCATTTAAGTACGATGTGTTGACCACATACAGTGTGTACACCACATATTGCAATTTTAGCGAATCGAGGCCGCCTTCGCTGCGCTCGGCAGCCAGTAGAACACCCGCATTAGCGTTACATTTTAGAACCCTACCCTCGGACGGACTGACGGACTGACGCAGAGCACACTCCACTAGGGGGGTAAGACTAGCCGTTCGCCGCCGCTACGCGGCGGAGTGGCATGGTTTGTTGGAGATGAGGTGGCCGCAAATATAGTGCTTCTTGGTGTCGCGTGCTTTGTGGGCGTCGTTCAACCTAGTACGTCGTGGTTTCGTGTAGTCAACCACTTAACTATCCGTAATCTCATGTGGCTTTGTACAATATCGTGGTTTAGTACGTTTCCGTTACCCCGTACTACAGGTTGAATGTCGTGTTCTTCATTGGGCTGTGCTCTTCCGTGTTCTACTTGGTTTCGTGGCTCTCTGTTCACCCGTGGTCCACGCTGTTTGTGGATATGCGCTCTCTTTTGAGCTTATGCACTTTAGTACAGCCTCTTTCGTGGCTCCTAGCTATTCTCTGCTCTCAAACGTTTACGCGGGCTGTACCGCTTTCGTGATACATAGGCATTCGTGGCCGTTGGCCTCCCATCGCCGGTACTCTAACCAAAGGGTGCTATTCCGTGCTTTGGTGCCTCCATGCAGTCGTGTGGTTCCGTCGTCCGTGCATCGTGATCTCCTGATGAAGTGTCATCGACCGCGGTATCACGCTATCGTGCAATCGCGGTGTGGTTATGCTTTCTATGGTATTGTGCACGTGTAGTGCATCTGCGTTGTCCGTGTTATCGTGCTCTACGATGCCATCGTGCTCCACGGTGTGTAATCGTGGTCATACCAAGCCCACCCCTGTGCATTTGGTGGGCGGTCCGCAGTCCGTGCAATCGTGTTATCATGTACTGCTGTCCTCCGTGGATCGGTAAGCTCAGGTTCTACACTGGTATGGTGCTCCGTGACTCGGTGATTTCGCGTGGCAGCGTGTTCTCCGATGGTTTAGTGGATAACCCACCGTCCATGCTGTCGTGTTATCTCTGGTGTCGGGGCTGGGCTGTCGTCTGTGTTATCGTTAGCTACCGTAGTGTCGCGCTCCGTGGATCGGTGAGCTCATGTTCTACCTAGGCATCGTGCTCCAAAAATTGATGATTTCTGATTTCCCGTATCTGGCCTCCTGCGGGCTCAGGTTGGGTCGGTTGACTGTGCTCCATGTTTACCCGTGGTGTTGTTGGAGTATTGTTTCTGTGCACTCTCACCGATACGTGTTCTACCGTGGCTTCGAACGTCCGTGCTCTTCCGTAGCCCGTGCTTTTCAGCATGCTGGGGTGTCTATGTATTTAGTTCCCTTCCGTGGCCCGTACGTTCCTGTCATGTTCTCTCCATCTGTTCTTTTCATGGCTGCGTGCTCTTTCATCTTTCACGCTACTTATAAAACTTCGTGGTTTGCATCGGCTAAGTCTTCTATCATCGTCCATGGCCTTCCGTGCTTCGTGTTGCTCTTCTATCCCATCGTGTACATAGTGTAGGTCGGTATTCCTTCGTGTTTCGTGTCCTTGCTTAGACATGTGCATCCGCGCCAGCTTAATCACAAACGCTGTTCCCATTTTGTTTGATGTACACAACGTATATTGTTTGATGTACACAACGTATATTGTTGGAAAGTTCACATAATATCTGAAGGTCGCACACTACGCGCGCAAATACAAAGGAAGACAATAGTTTATTACGGAGGTGCAGAGGTGTAAGCCACAATAGTCATATTTTAAAGTTTTCACATTATTAATAATAGTAATACAATTGCTATTCATTATTAAACGCTAATATAATTATTATCTATACTACTACTACAAATGACTGCAAGCAAAAATATGAAATGCCTTGATAATAGTACTAATCAAAATAATATTGTAAGTTAAATTAGTACAACAGTGCTACGAAGCCTAAAACATCATTCTATATTCAATAAGTACTAAAGTTTCGATTGATGCCGAAATATAAGTCACCAAAGCCTACCCTTTTTGTCAGCATCTCCTACGACGATATAGTACGTGTGTGCTTATCGGCGCCTTTTAATTATGCTAACTAACGCGTACACAGGCAGCGCCCTTTGCGTGAGGTGGCGAACCGCAGCTGAAAATGAGAGCAAAATGAAATTTAAACGGTGCAGTTAAGTACGATGTGTAGTCCACATACAGTAAGTACAGCACATAATATCTGTTTTAGCCAATGGGGGCCGCCTTCGCTGCGCTCGGCAGCTTTTTAGCGAATTGAGGCCGCCTTCGCTGCGCTCGGCAGCCAGTAGAACGCCCGCATTTGCGTTACATTAATTAACCCTAGCCGCGGACGGACTGACAGACACTAGGACCTAGTGTGTGTAAGATTGTGCACTCCTCTTACAAATGCCACGTCTCTGCTTATTTTTTTTGGATCATTTCTTAATGTTCGACTCCGTATAAATACCGGTACCCACTGCCACCACTGGCTCTCGGTGACACCGTGTCGGTGTCAATTTCTCCTGGAAAACTTCTGCCAGCAGGCATTGCAGCTGTCCACCGCACTTGGCTCTCCTTCGTCTTGTTGTCGCTTGTCGTCGGGTGGGCACGGCCATCTGCCGCTGGCGCTCACATCTTCTCTCTAAGGGCGTGTTCGCGTTGTGCCTGGAGATGGAGATGGTCCCATCTCACTAAATACGTCTAACAATTGATTGGCCAAAATCCATTTGTTACAACTGCACAACTGGAGATTAGAGGTGATATCCTTCTCGACCTATTGGAGGTGGAGACAGGAGACGGAGGTAGAGACGAGAGGCTCACAATTTGTTATGGAGGAGGACATTGAAAACGTTTTGCTAGCTGTGTGTGCTGCAGTAGGACAAGCGGCTGTACTGCTTATAACTGCTGTACGTATAATGTAGCGCTAGACTCATACACAGTACCTTTGACTTGCACTGGGTAGCATCAACCTCGAGGCCACCAATACGGTGAGTCTCTGCAGCTAGGTAATCCCACGCAGCACTCAACTGCTTCGAGTTCTTAGTGCCATCAAACAACCCCTTCAGGCTATCGAATCGCAATCTCAGCAGCACCTCAGCCGCATTTACTGTCCACGCAAATGGGTGCTTTGTCTCGTTCCTGCCTTGATTCCTGCGGCGTGGTGCGCTCTGACCACTGCTGGTACGAGTGTGTACCGGTATGATAGCTGCGTCGTCCTCTGGTTGAGTGGCGTCTTCAGACCTTAACTGCATCATTCTTTGTTCTGCAGGAGAGCGTGAAGATGAGGATGTGACTTCTCGATCCTAGGTTGTGAGTGCCGTGTCCACACATGGTATCGGCACCTGATTGGTTTAAAGTGCACCTGGAGAAGGAACGTAGCGACACAACTGGAGGTGGAGATCGTAGGACACCACAATCATCTCCATCTCCAGGCACAACGCGAACAGGCCCTAAGGGAGTGCCAGCCTATTACCGGCGCGCAGCATATCATGGAGAAGCGAGCGAGGTGGGACCGAGCGGCTGGTGAAACGAAGACATTGCACGTCCCATTGCTGAAGTTGCCCCTTTCGGTCGTTTCGCTTCACCACCGCAGATAGTTTTGCCTAGCACACACACCATTGTACAGTATCTATCTTTGAGCGGGCCAAGTCCAGCGCAACCGCCGCCAAGAATTTCGCTGCGTTGCGTAAGACTTCCCCACCAAACCGATTCAAGTCGCCCCAGTCGTCAATTTGCCGCCAGCTCGTCGGGAAATCACTGAAGACACCAGCAATGACACGCCAAGGCTATCTTATCGTGCACGACAAGCGTAACCACCCGACAGTGCGCTACCTATCGCTCGAAGACGGATTCCTGCGCCAGTTCGCATCGGCCGACTGCACCAAGTGCCTGGACGAAGTCCGGCTTTCGGGCTGCAAGATTACTGTCAAGGCGCAGAAGCGCGCCGATGGCGTGCCCAACAGTTTCTATATTGAAACCCGCAAGGTTTTCGTCAAGGACCGATCCTACACACTAGGCAACGTTGAGCGCATCGAGTTCAGCGCCTGCAGTGGCGAGGACCGCCAGGATTGGGGCAAGGCTCTTTTCTCGTGGCAGCGCTATTACTGGCGCGACCCTGTGGCCACCTCACCTGAGAACAACTCGGTCACCCGTGAGACCCGCAAGCAGCTCGAACAGATCGTCGCAAAACACTTCGTGCAGAAGCCCTCAAGTGGACACTCGATCTCATTCGC